GCATAGATCAGACTGACGAATGTCAGAGGGATGGAGGAGGGTGGGTGGGTGGAGAGGGAGAGAGTAACCAAAGAATTCATATGCATATATGCACAACCCAAGGACATGGACAATGGTGGGGAGAGAGACTGGGGAGGGGGATGGGATGGGGTGGAATGGGTCACTGGGGAGAAAAAGGGACATCTGTAATATTTTAAACAAAAATAAAATTAAGAAAAAAAAATTAGTATGTTGCTAGTCCTTAAACAGTTTGGAAATGTATTTGATATATAGATTAAATGTCACCACGTGAATAATTCTTTCTAATAAGGCTGTCAGTCAAAATGGAGTCCAATTCAAACACAATTTATAATCCCCCCAAAATCAACATTTTAAGTCAGTGATTGGCAAACTACACACTATGGGCTAAATCTGCCATCCACCTGTTTTTGTAAATATACTTTTATTGGCTTACAGCCAGGCTCAGGTTGTCTATGGCTGCTTTTGTACTTCCAATTGCAGAGTTAAATAGCTGTGACAGAGGCAACGTGGCCTACAAAGCCTGAAACTTTTGCTATCTGTCCCTTTACAGAAAAAGTTTGCTGACCCCTGATCTAAGAGATCATGATTTGATTTAAGAACAGGGTGATGCCTGACAAAAGTATCAGTAAAGAAAGGAACAGTGACCCATTAACTAGTAAGATTGCCCCAAAGAGTCAGTAGATCAACAAGTCCACATCTGAGGTAATTTCTTTGACAAACTTTTTGATATAAATTATAATTAATTAAAATACATATTCAAATAATTTAACAAGTTTCTCTCCCTGATGTAATCACTTTATTATTAGAGCAAAGGAACAGACTGCTTCTTAGTATTTAGCCCAAAAGAGATCACACCTGAAAGGGTGAGGAAGCACAGGTAACCATCTCTGATCAGCTGATGCTTGAAGCCAGGTGGGAGTTGCTGTCTATCTTCCAGATGTCCACCTCCTCATTTCAGTAGCGGCAGAGTCGCCATGGCCATTTAAGACACGCTGGGAAGCAAGGAATGGCTCCTAATCTTTCTGCTCCTAGATTCCATGATTGTTCTAGTTCTTTCTGGGGAAGGGCTGTTAATTGTTTTTTTCTGAGAAGCTGTGATTGGCTCAGTCATGATTGATTGCTATCAAGTTTGTATGTTGTTGGCATAACAGGCACTTGCTGACTACAAAAGTTTTATGTAATGAGTTCATGTTCTTCTGGTGCCAGATGGAAGACAGACTTTAAGGTTGAGTTCCTACTATTCTATACATTCAGAATCTCGAAATCTTCCTCCAGGTCAAACTCCTCTAGTTGTTCAGTAGAGTCAATGAATTCTGTCAGAATACAGAAATGAAAAAGAAGAAAAGCTTGATGCTTAAGTTGAAGCAGTCAATACATTATTAAGTAGGGAAGACTATGCATTTTTAAATTGTTTTGCTAAAGAAAAGCTTTTATGGAGGAGGCTTACAGATAGGACCATTGCCAAGTATTAGAAATTATCTATAAAGAATCAAAATAGACTGGCTGGTGTGGCTCAGTAATTGAGCGTCGACCCAGGAACCAAGAGGTCACTAGTTTGATTCCCAGTCAGGGCACATGCCTGAGTTGTGGGCTCGATCCCCAGTAGGGGGTGTGCAGGAGGCAGCCAATTGATGATGTTTCTCTCTCATTGATGTTTCTGTCTCTCTATCCCTCTCCCTTCCTCTCTCTATAAAAAAAAAGAATCAAAATAACCAGACTTGTTACATAGTCCTATTCACAGTGATGAGGATGAGGCTCTGTAAGAACTTGGAGGCATCTTTTGACATACCCATGACCTCTTATTTGCTATTCTGAACCAGACTATGAAAAAAAAAGTCTAGTTATTTTGATTTTACATGGGACTTTTGCACTGAGCTCATTTTCTGCTATTATCATTCTTTGAAATCAGTATTAGTTCATCAGAGTATTTAAATAATCAGAAGCACCATTTCTTGATTAGTCCAATAATTGCTTCTATTTCGTAAATCAATTGTTACATGTGGGTCTGCTGGCCGTAGAGCCCCTGAGCAACCACTTACCTGCCCCGGTGGTTGTTACCTCTGGTTTGGCTGGAGGCACAAAGGGAGGCCAGTGTGATGGATGTTTCTGAACTAATTCAAACATCCTTAAGTTTTCCTTTAGAATTTCCTGAGGAGACATAGAAACAGTTATAAACACTGCAGAGCCTCTATAGTTCTGTCCAATTGGCAATCTACGACCACAAGCCCTAAGAGAGTGGCCTTCTTGTTGAAAGGTGAAAGCAAAGAACTAACAAATACAACCATCTTCTACCTGACCCATCTGAAGACTCAACCATCTTCAGTTCTAAAACTATTGGCCAGGAGGGAAGGCCACTGGAGGGAGTATCTGATAGAAGGCCAGTACACACTGCCCAAACTCCATCATGAGGTTCAGGTCATATGCCAGTTGCATGGACTCAACTCAATTCGGGGGTGAGATGGTCCTGAAGTGTTGGCTCCAAAGAAATGGTTAAGTAAATAAAATCTGCCCCAAGAAAAATACTGGTACATATTGGCATGGTTTCCATTTAGTCCAACACTTATAGTATATGTCCTAATTTAAATGGTATAGCCTTATCAGAAAATTTTTCTTCTAACTTTAAATGTGAAATATAGTTTTGCTGCATTCTGAAATATAAGTATTGCTTTTAGAAAATAAGTCTCTATTATGTCTCAGCTAATTATTAACGGTGGTTTCTGATTCAGCTAGGGTCATTAGTGTTAATTCTTTGTTCACTTGTGAAGAAAAATCTTCCTTCCTTACACCTACAAGAAGCTCTGGACTCCCATCTCTTCAATCTCTTTGTTTTGCAAATAGTAGAACATTATGTCTCTTGCTACCCCATGCAGGGCTCTTTAAACTACTCCCTATGATTGCCCTTCACTTTTTCAATAAGTTTTTATCAATGTCTTCCACATATTTGGCATATGTTAGAAGCTGAGGATGAGGGAGGCAGATACAAAGGTTGGTGATCCAGCAAAAAAAAATAACTACCCTTTTATACAAAATATCCAAAAAAAAAAAGAATAACTTGCTTTAGTATTTACACAGATTTCTCCAAACTGTTTTTCCTTTAAGTGGCAGCGTTCCTATATTTTATATGAATAAGACAGTTAATAGAAAGTTCCCTAAACCATAATGGAATACAGTACACTAAACTATAAATGGACCACTAAATAAATAGCCAAATACACCAGTTTCTTCAGTCATCTCAGTGTTATGAACAGACTAAGGAAAAATGTAGGCTAAGCTATATGAAAATGGAATTTTTAGGTTAAAATGGTAGAATATTAGTTAAATATTTCGTGACTCGTAAGCTTAATGGGATAAAACATTAAGTAGCTAAGAATATTGCTCACTTGACTTACTAAGCATATTTCTAACAAAAGATTTTCTTCGGTTCCCCAAAGTTACGTGCACATCTTAGTTTCTTTCTCTTGCCATAAAGTCATATCAAGCTAGGTTTATGTTACTATGAAAAACAGTCTTGAAAAGGAATCATGTTGAATAACTTTTGTTTTTTAAGACTAAGGTAAACATATATCTTTACCTTCTGAACAAGGCTGCACCAGCTATCAAAGTCTTTTTCTTCTTTGCAGAAAAATCCCTTGGGGGGAAGCAAAAGAACACAACTTAGAATTGGTCAGGGGCACCAAGGAAGGCCCTCCTGTACTGCAAGATGGAGCCATTGGCTCAGAGTTGCAACGTGGGATGTGGGTTACTCTCCTTGGTTGTGATTTGCCAACAATTAGGAGGAAGATTGGCTGGGCTTATCTCTCCTCTAGATCATTGCCTCAGTTGGACACAAGCATTTGCTCATTCATTCTCCCTCCCCCCCCATTCTCTCTCCTATCTCTCTTACTGTTTCTCCCTCTTCCTTTCTTTCTCCTGTCTCCCTGCTTCTCTCTCTTATTCTGTCCCTTTCGCTTTTACCATATGCTTTTCCCTCCCTACCCCTCTCCCCTCATACTGTGAGATATAGTAACTTGAAGCCCAATCTCCAAAGTGTGGGGTTACATTCAGTGTACAAATATACACATCTATAAAGAAGAGTCAATTAAACCAGTAAACAAAAGCCAAATAGTACTTTTAGCTAGAGGCAATACTTAATAAAGCAGTTTTGACTTTAAGGAAATTATCTTTTAGAATAAAGAGAACCATCAGCCTCTTTCTCCATCATCACAGCTATTGTATGGTAGTGAAAGAATGGTACAAGAAAAGAGGAGGACTCTTTGGACACTGGTATCCTGACAATTGGATTAAATTGGAAGGATGCAGACCGGCCTCAGAACTACTGGCTACTTCACAGGCAGCTGCCCCTTCAATGTGTGTAGACAGCAGTCACACTTCTGAGGGGTGGGGGTGGGGAGCTGCAACTTCCTGAATTGTGTGTCCACAGAAGTGGGGACTGTCTACCCAGGGGATCTTGCCCCCTTCTCCCTCCCTAGCAATATCCTACATTATTCCCTTGGCCTGTGTGGCAATAATTAGAGCGTGAGGAGGAAAAGCGTGGAAGCTGGCAACATTAATAAAAACTAACATTTATAGATATTTACAATGTGCCAGGCGTTGTTCTAAGTGCTTTATGCACAGCGTATCTCACACAACCCTACAAAGGACTCAGAAAGGTAAAGGGACTCCCCCTAAGTCCATAGCTAGTAAATGACAGGGCCTAAATTCCAAGTTAAGCAGTTTGGCTTCAGGATCCATTCATTCCTCAATACTCTACGCTACCTCTCATGGGGGTGGTAGTTGAATATACTCTTGCCACTCTAAGTAGCTACCTGGGAAACCCCCAGGGAACCAATTTGTAATAGGGTGGCAATGTACCTCTTGGACCACTCAACCTTCAGATACCCACCAATGCCACAGAAGGATCCAAGTTCAGAATATTCATTCGCTGTGGTGACTGCAGACAATGGAAAGTCTGGTCATCAACGGTTCCATTCTCTTCAGTGTCAACAAAGGTCTGGGTTGTGTGAGGGTCCAGGAAAATGAGCTCATCACCTGTTGGAATGAGGCATGCTTAACCTTCAAAGAAACACTTGCTCTGGGCTCCACTGTTGTCCTTGGGAGGAGGCACTCTGGTTTCCCTAACCGTTCCCTTGGTGACAATGAAAATGAGATGACAGAAAGCCCGAATTAAGGTGAGCATGCCTAAGGCAGCCACAGGCACCCAAATTTAACCATTCAATGAGAAGACTTGCTCTAGCATTCACATCTCCTCAAAATCCAAGTCCAAAAATGGAAAGTGACAGGTTTGGGAAAAGGTGGGAATGAGAGATCACAGATGACATGGCAGGCTCTGTGAGCAGCAGTAGCAAAGAGGTGGTAGGTAGAATCACCAGGCTGTGAGTTCAGGTGCCATTAGGGGGTTTCCTGCCTCTTTCAACATTGGAAAGCATCTAGTTCCAGACCATTGGTCCATAGAGCTATGTTCAGAAAACACATCTGGTAAGGAGAAAGGCCTTGGCCTCCAAAAGAAATGGGAATGCTGACTCTGCTATGGATGAGATACCAGGGAATTGACTTCTGGTATTGATTAGCTAGCAAGTTAGTCACTGTTAGTAAGTTAGTAATCAATCCCTGTTGGAAAGTACTGCTTTGGTCACATTGACATCTGTACTGATATACCTTGCTTGGAAAACTTACTTTGAGATGATCGATGTTTACAAATGAGAGAAAAGCCATGCTTCATTAAATTGAAAAAGTCTAGCCCAATAATGGCCTGGGAGGGGTTTAGGATAATAAAATCTCTACTTTTACCTGATATTCAAAGGGCTGAGAGTCCCTCTAATGCTCCTCAGCAGCATGCCGAGTAGGCAAAAGTACCTAAGGGAACACCCTGAACCCACTGTCCAGGCCTGAGGACCATCATCTGGGCTTCTATGTTTTAGACTGAGTTAGACAACCAAAGAAAGAACTACCTATAGCAGGAGGATGGGGTAGGATGAGATTCCCTGAAGACCTTCCCTGGAATGGCATCCAGGAGTGTGTTAGGCACATCTAAGTGCTTCTGTTGGAAAAGAATGTGCTTCTGATGTATGATGAAAGCTCAACTTGTCTCTATCACAGATCTAGGACAAGCCTATTAAATCACTCTCTTAATTTTTCTGTTTTTAAACTGGGGTCATTGGGCCTATTCCAGTTACCTCACAGGGTATAAGAACAAGAAGAATTCACCTCTGTGAAATGCTTAAAACACAATACAAATACAAGTCAGTCATAGAAGTATCTTGCTTAGATTCAAAAACATTTCCCTACAAATAAATGTTGGAGAGTATATGGAAATCAGTGCTGCCATATGACTTGCTTTATGAAAGTCAAGGTACATGGTCCCCCAGACCACAGGTGGGTGACATCAGTTATATCAAAGAAGGCTCAAGTTACAATGAAGAGCAACAACCAGAATATTTAGAGGGAAGCCTACCTGACACCATAAAAAGGTAAGAAGAGAAGGAAGTTGTACACAAGAAACTACAAATCCAAAGCAGGGTTATAACCAAGCATTCTGCCAGAGTGTTTCAAGTTAAGGTGCTGGAAAAAATACCAGCGTCCTCTCTGCCTGTGGCCTGTGTGTGTGCGCGTGTGTGTGTGCGTGCGTGCATAGTGGAGCTTTGCAGGCTGCCCCATTCCCGAGAGTGCTTAAAAGAGATATAGCAGAAAATCTAAAAAGTCCTAGAAATGATGTGGGAACTAAACCAAGGTCTCTAATGAGGCCTGAAAAGGCAGGCTAGCCAGCCAACTGCAGCCTGCCTCACGCTCACGCTACAGATCTCCAAATGGCAACCCCTACTAAAGTGCAGGAGACAAACATCTCTCTATGCAGGAAAAATCTAATAGAGTCTCACCATGGTCAGAGTATCTCACAGCAAGAGCTTTTCCCAGCTTTCCACTGGGCAAGAGAGCATCAGGAAAGCAATGTGGTAAGGTAGACAGGGATGACCAAACTGGGATCGAATCCTAGCTTCACTACTTTCTAACTGGTTGACCTTAAGGAAACAATCCCTCTAAATCTTAGTTTCCCCCGGTGTAAATGGAAATAAAAATCTCTACCTCACAGGGGTGTTATGCTAACTATATCCCCCTATCTATATACATCTATATATAATTACCTATTCCTATACATCTATATATAACTATCTATATAACTATATCTATACATCTCTATATAACTATCTATAAAATTATATCCATACATCTATATATAACTATATATCTATATCTATCTATCTATCTATCTATCTATCTATCTATCTATCTATCTATCATCTATCGAGAGAGAGAGAGAGAGAGAGAGAGAGAGAGAGAGAGAACATTTTGCAGAGTCCATGGCATAAAATAGCTGTTTAGAAAATGGCAGATCTCATCCGTTCCTTCCCTTCATCCATTCTACCAATATGGACCCCCCAACCTAATACACTAAGGGGGTAAGTAAGAAAAGGAAGAGTCGAGGGGACTTTGGAGCCTCAAATGAAGGCTAAACAGAGGATTTTTGGAAAAGGGCACTATGTAAAACTCTATCTTTGGAACTGAGGATTGTATACACTTCTTTCATGAGTAGTCAGACTCCACAAAGTCACCCCAACCCAGTGGCCTGAGTAAACAAAAGGGCTTCACGAACTTGGCGAATTATGTCTGGGTAAGTGGGGATAAGGGAGGCCAGGGAGTCCAGGAGTCACATACACTATTCACTGAGATCCCTCCAAAATTATTTTCCAATCTGTTTCAACTTTATCCTCAAACACAAATAATAAGAAATATATTTTTGTGACATTTCTTTGACATGTCCTTTGACATGTCCTCCAAAAACTTAGAGTACATTTAAATTTATATAACTAAGCTTTTGTACTTAGAAAAATAAAAACCTCCCCATTTTCCATCAAGCTGTAGTTCTTAGGCTTGGCCAATAGATGGCAGCATTAGAGAAAGCAGAGGCAACTGTGTAGAAACACCAGCTCTTATGTGGAATCTAATGAACAAAAGAAACTGAGAGACAAAATACATCCAGAGACATGGAAACATGCAACAGACTGAGGGTTCTCAGAGGGAAAGGTCGAGGGGAGGTGGGAAGAGATTACCAAAGAACTTATAGGCATATATGCATAACCCATAGACAAAGACAATAATGCGGTGAAGGCCTCGTGGG